TATGTATATCTTCCAACACAGTACAAGACATCAAAGGGGAGGGAAATTAATGATTGATGAGGGTAGGGCAGGAAGTAGTCTGTGGAACCCCTAGAGAAAGATGTAGAGCACACTGTGGTGGGAGTCAGTAGAAAAGGTACAGAGAAGTTTGATCTGGTAAGAAATCATATGTAATTTTTCTTTTCCAGTCCCCTTACTTGCTCCTACCGTCACTTTCATTGCTCGTTTACCAAATTCTGCAATGACAACCTTAGCCCAAGGGTAACCGTTTTTACTGGCATGGCATCCTGAGCTCTTTCGAGGAATGTTGTTCTATGTTACCAAGTGAGCAGCAAAGAGAGAAGATAATAAAGAGGTTTCAAAGGTCAAGGAAGGCTAGACACTGTTCAAATTGATTTTGAAAGACTTGATAAGAATATACATATTCAGAGTATATATATTTCATAGTATAAATATATACTAAAAGTTCTATGTAATAAATATATGTATACTAAATTACATTGTAAAATGTGTGTCTTTTAACACAGAGATGTTAAAATTGTGTCTGTAGCTTTTAGAGTCAAATGATACATTAATCACTTTGCTTCTAATTCTTCAGTGGCATCTTCATCAAGTGCTGCATAGACGATATCATGCATTTTATATTTTACATTCGTCAGTCTATATTCTGACTAAGCTCTCACCATTTTGCTTTTCAGAACAAAAATGGTCCAGAGGGAAAAAAAAAGGTATAATAGGTTTATCTTTTACATTGAATTTTGGCTTACTTTTGACATGTAGGTTGAATTTAATATCTACTCTTGTGTGTTAGTAGCAAAAAATAAGGGAAACATTTAATATTCCACTATACTCATGGAAAAATATCAGAAGAAAAAATATATTCTAGTATTAAATCATTTTACATCATTGTCAAACACGTGGGCAAAAAAGCAAATGTAAAAATTATTCACAGAGATTGACATTCCTCTTGTAAAAGCGTTCTTAGTTTTTTTGTTTTGTTTTGTTTTTGTCCCTAAACACAAGTAGCAGAAATAGCAGCAATGTGTCACTGTGCCCTTGTACTTTATGGTGTCATCGCCTCTGAATGTTTTTTTATTATTTTATTACTAGAAAGTCAGTTCAGGAAGGCTGTTGTCTGTTTTCTAAAATTTAGGAGCTTCATATTCTGGGTTTGTTATATCTATTATTATTAAGATGATGATGCCAATTTTCAAACATTTAAGAAACATGCACTGTCAACTGTACCAGTAGTCCCTAACAATGAAATATAGTCATACAAAAGTTAACTAAGGTATAAACATGCAAAAGAAGAAGTCTCTCTGTGATCATAAAGTGATGTTATTTTCTGTTCAGCAGTTCATGTTACTGCTGTTCATGCTAATTAATTAAAGGAGCTGTTGCTGTAATGTGCAAACAGGGAATCTGAGAAACTGAGAGGGCTTTTAGGTCTCCAAGTGAAGTTAAGTCAATCTGGGCGCGGGCAATCAAATGTAATGAAATCACTTGTCAGTGCTAAGCTTGCAAAAACTGTGAAGTTTGACTAGGGAGTAAAAGGATTATAATTAGATTTCCAATAGGATAATAACTAAATGGCAGAACGCAGTAAAGAGAAAATATTACTTTGTTAGCTAATGGTACTGCTGTTTGGTTTTAGTTTTTATCAGCGCACTTGTAGTTGTGCTAATTTAATTTGCTTTTATCAGCCAAAATGCACTAGGCAAATGGTACTTGAACATTATTTGCAAAAGTCATTGATCTGAAGGTGCACTTAATGACACCCGGTATGTTTATTTTATGTGAAATGGAGATTAGTTGATAAGATGGTTGATGTGCTGTCGTGCAGGCCCCCAACCGAGTTATGGGAATCTGGGTGGGAGGATATTAGTGTATATGCTCCACTGAATCCTTCACCTCCAGCAATAGTGGACACAGCCATCAGAGTGAGTATGTATTCATTGTCTGATCACCTTAAAATATTCTGGAGGAGATGCTATCATAGATTGTTAAAAATATAAGGGATACAGAAATTCTTTTATCAGAAGGTGGTCTATGCATGATATCTTGTCTGTCAAACAACATTCAAAGCATAAAAGACATGAAATAACTAAGCTGAAGAGATTCAGAATACATATAAGAATCCTAGTACATGGGCAGTTTGTACTAAAATCCATCTGGAAATGATCATAATACTGTATATGACTTTATTACTTCTAAGGATGGCAAAAGCAACATTCTTCCAAGTTCTCTTTAAACTCTCGTAAGGAGATGTCATAGTGGAACTAATTGAATTTCACAGGGAGAACACTAGGTGAATGACAGATTTCTATCTAGCAGAGCAATTGACAATAGGAAGGGAAAAGACTTCACTGATGCTGGAATTGTTTGCTGTGATGGAGATGAGTTTTGGAAATGGCACTAGATTGGCATGCATGAACAATGCTAGGAAATAATCTTTCAAGTTAAAAAATGGGTAATTGAGGGATGTGAAAAAGATGAAAACAATGTCAAAATAAGTCACAAAAGAAAAGACCTGTAACACACAAAATTATTAGAAAGAATGAAAAATATAATGGTTACACCGGAATTTTATGTTTTCCAAGCATTATACATTTTCTGAAGTTCATAGATACATACAAAAGTAATCTTTCAATTCTGAGCATCTTAATAAGTAAGATTATTGATATTTTTCAGGTAATTATTTGAATTGATTGATTTGGGAAAGTATATTTAAGATTAGTTCTGATAATATTTTCAGGCACCTATTCCCCTAATAGAATAAATCATTTTTTGCTCATAAAATAATTTCTTTTAGATATTAAATTGTGATTCTACTGTCATGTTAACACAAAACATTTACTTTAGCTTTCCATAAATTGATGATGGGAATTTTATCATTTACACCACTTAAATGCTCTGCTAAGAGAAGTGAGAATGTGTACTTTTCAGTTTTTATCAAATTTATCAAGAATATTATTTAACATAACCTAAAAGTCAGACATTCAATAAGGAATTATTAACCCACCATATTTTACCATATATTGACAATATTAACCACAAATACTAGATAATTTGTTTTATAATTTGAAAAAAAATAATAAAAGTTAATTCCCTTGCTTTAAAATAAGTTCCATCTCAATTTTTTTAAAGATGTATCTACTTCTCTCATGTTTAGCCAGCAAAAACTAGTAGAACTTAGTAAAAGCATGCTCAGTGAAAACAAATACTAAATGTGTCCTCCTCAACCACAAGTTAATATGCAAAAGCCATTCTTTGCAGACTTCATTAAAATAAAAAATTTGAGCCAAATGGAGAGTGAATCTACCTTTTGCTTTTATCACCTAATTGACCTCCCATGAATAAGATACCTGTTGTTTGTTGCATGAAAATGAAGTAACTTCAGGACAGTTCAAAAGCTTGTATTTATCTGAGTTGGGAAAGATGTTAATATTGCAAACTAATGGCATCATATAAATTAAACAAACAGCAATGAATTGGGAGTACAGGATTAAAGGATAATAAAGATTCAACCCATTGATGGTATATTTGGTTTACCCCCTCCAGTTCCAAAGCTGATCTTACATCCCACTCAAAGGAGGGGCACAATGAAGCTCAATGCTCCTTAAAGACTAGGTCTATATCTGTGTGTCACATTCAGAAGGGATCAAATGCTTCGGGCTTATTCAACCCGACTTTGGCCCTGATATGTGATGGCAACCTCAACTAGTGGTAGCCCACAACTAGTGGGGCTTTCATCATAAATTTCACTGTGGCAAATTGATTGGACAAACACTGAGTCCCATCCAAATTGGCTTTTCTCACATAAACACAGCTTTTAAGTTGAGGGAAGAAAGCAGGCAAGCAAAAGAGGGATCAGATACAGCAAAAGCTTCAATGAATGAGCTAAACATGCATGCTTTCACACCTAGCAAAGTTAATGCATTAGTTAGGTCTACCCAGCTGCAGCAGAATAAGGCATTACCAGAAGATCCATGAGCTCTGACACTTCTGGTTTTGTGAAGATGATGTGGAAAACTACATGAATGAGGGTTTCTAAATTTTCTGAAGCTGCTACAAAAAACAGTGACCCTCAGATGAGCCCAAATAGATCTTTTGGTCACAGCCAGTTCTGTTGCCTTCATGTAGATCCAATCACACAGTGGAAAGGCACTGATTAGTTACTTCTCAGCAAGCAACATATCCATGGATGTCTTCCTTTTTGAAAGTTAGGAAATCATTTTTTTCATGGAGATGACTTTTCTTTTTTATTAGAGTGAGATATTTTTTCACAGTAAATGTGAAATAAATGTAACCCACATACAAAGGGCTAGAAAATTGCATTAGAATCACACTGGAAAAACCCCAGTGGTCAAATTCAGTTTTTATTTTTAGGTGCTTTTGCACTCCAGTGAGACTCTATATTGATTTGTTTCATCTATTTTCTTACTACTAAATTTTTTAAAAATATTTTAAAGGATCTAAGCATTTATTGGAATCCTGCAAATCATGATTTACAAGTCATGCTCATTTCCATATTTAGGCAGTTTCTAGAATTATCTAAAATTAGCATCGGAATTTAAAGGTTGATAAAAAATGTTGTCTAGAACACTTTTAAAATATTGATAGGCTATGATTGTTGTACTTGTGGCTTTTACAAACAGTAAAGTAATGAGATTTAAAAAAACATACTATTGTACACTTCTGAAAAGTAAATTATATTCACATTTATGCATTTTTAGAATATACCTAACATATAATGCACATCCTTTTAACAACTAAACATACTGTACAAGAAATTTGCACACATTGTATATGCAAAATTATTAGTCCCTATATATATAACCTCAGAACACTACAGACTTCTTTGTCTGTCATAAAGTAAGAAGAGTTAAACTTATTTATTTTACTTATATGAAGAGTATCAACATAGGAACTCATCCCCACCCCACCTCCAGGGGTCACATATTAAGCAGTTATAGAGAGAAGTGTGCTGTTTACTGTACCTTGCATAGCAGTACTATCATGAGGAGTCCCATTGTTTTCTATTTCAATATCTGGAATCCCAGTATCTGAAAGAAGTGACATTCAAGATTAAGATACAATTCTGTTTTCCCTGATTCAATTTCAAGTGAAAACTCTCAGTAACCCAGTACTTTGGTCCTATAGATAATGTAAGACCTTGGGTGGTGTTTTTGGTTTTGGTTTTTGGTATGTCTATTTGTTTTTAATGGTAGGAGGGAAGATTATAAACTGTAGCTGAATTCTACAATTGAGCATATATTTCCAGATATATAGTAAATAACTTCTTTATTCATCTCATTCTCTAGAGATGACTCTCAGGAAAATAATCCATAAAAATCCCCTCAGACTATCAGGTAACATGGCCTAACTGTGGAATAAGAAAAAGATGGATACAATTGCATAAGTGGAAGCGCTCATTCTTCTGGTATATTTTTGATTTGTAAAATGTGATAGATGATGAGATTACCTCTATGCTAAGCACACGTGAATATCAAAACACAGATTATGGCTTGTGGTCTTTATGTAGTACTGGCTCTAGGAGCAAAGGGATACATGAATTGTTTTGAAAAATCTTGAGGAAAAGAATCAAGGAGTTGAGTTTTCATTTTCAATTTTAAATATGAAATGTGATTATCTAAAAGCTATTCATATACATGAAGCACAGCTTAATATGGACATTTCTGTATATACACATTTGCTCAGCTACCCTTGGGTAATGTGGTAACAGATGCCAGTGTATCACCCACTGCCATCAAGGATTAATGTGAAAAGGAAATGATTTGAATACAAGGTACCCAGCATGTTGTAGAAACAGCTGCTTTTTCTTTATAATAGCAAATATTGGAGCTAGAGTGGAGCTCACTTATGGGTGGATTTCAAATATGTAAAAAAAGATGTCAAACCACCTCAGAATGGCAAGTTCAGGGCCTCAAAAAATGAGTGCACAGAACATTCATCCAATTGCTGGTCAGAAATGTTATTTTTAAGACCTTCGATAAGCAAGGATGCTGGCTCCCACTGTCTAAGATGTCCCATTGAAGGAGGTATTAATGTATTATTATTTACCGTCTCTCTTCTGTGTCTCAATGAGGCATGGTTGTCATGAACTAATAATCTAGCATGGTATTTCTATCGATTGTGAGCAGAATGGTCTAAGACAGTCACAGTAAAAAGGAAATTGAACTTTTGGAGAGGAAAGAATATGATTGAACATTTGTACAAAATTATTTATTCTTAGTATAGAACACTGAAGCAACCCGCTTTTAGTTCATGTGTGTGTCATATGTGTGCATGGGGTATATGTACATGTGTGTATAAAATTCTTGGGCTCATCCTTGTTATACACACATATCAGTTAAATATATGAGCTGTCAATGAAAGAAGAACCTGAACGTTCCATGAGATGAAATGATGTTGTTGGGTTTCATAATTAAAAATGGAATCAGAAAAGTCTGGAATTAAGAGATTTCATGACGGAAGCACCTCTTCTCATAAGATCTCCAGGGATTTACTTAGAACATTCTTTTTCAACCAGGCACTCCTTAAGCCCTCAACATGATACAATCTGCACTAAAGGAACCAGTATCCTATTGCTCATTAAAATAGAGTACACCAAACATCAGTATATTTTAACATGAATGGACCTAAAACACTTACATTTTAGGCGGGGGGTGGTTATCAATATTACTGCTTCTACTGCAAAAGTCAGCAGGATTTTCTGTTATTCCTATGCTATTTGTATTTCCCAGAATAGAGATTATTTTGACAGATTTAATTAATGACCTAAAGCACTTGGCCTCAAATTGATTTTTAAATTATTCCTGGACAAAACCTTTTCCTTCCTTCCTTCCTTCCTTCCTTCCCTCCTTCCTTTCTCCCCTCTCTCCCTCCCTCCTTCCTTTCTTCCTTTTGTAAATTGGGTTTTGCTTTGTGTACCTTGAGCGTGCAAGTCTAAATCAGACATTACCTTTCAACATCCTCAGACCACTGTCACTAGTAGTGGCTTGCTTAAGTGCTTGCTCCACTTGCTCCCTGCGCTTTGATTCAAATTCCAAGGCTTCCTGCAGTTTTCTCTTGGCTTTTTTCTCCTTCTTCAGGCGCTTCTGCATGGTAGCTAAAATGTGAAAAGGTAAATAGTTTACAAAGGCTTGGTCAATGAAATCGAGTTGCCAGTTTTGATGGAATGTAAACCACAGTATAGACACAGAGATAAAAATGTATCAGTTGACATATGATTAGCTTCTCTCGGTTCCAATTCTCATTAGACTCAACCAAGGAGTGTTCAATCATACAATGGACTTCTTTTTGCTTTCACCTTTCCAGTGTGTATGCTCTATAATACACGTGCATTTGTATGGTGGTGGCAGTGGTGGGGGAAAATTGTTTTCTACTTTGACTAATCACATGTATTTAATGATAGCATTAAATATTTTATAAATCACTTAAAAAAGATACTCATTATTCATCAGGTTATTGCTAGTCATATTTCAAAATGCAAAAATATATGAAAATATCTATTGGGTTGCAAAACATGCTATGTCCTTTAAAACTTAGTGTCAAGTGTCTATTTCTCTGAGATGTTACCAGTTGTAAGGGTAAATATCCATCTCTTTAAATATATGCACGTATAATCAGACTTTCTCTCTCTTTACATATATCTATATCTATATCTATCTATATACATTTTAAAGAGAATAACTTTCAGCAATGATTATTTTAAGCAACCTGTAAAAGCACAACACCATTTCTTTTGTAGGTAGAAAAGGTAATGAAGAGCTAAAGAACAACTATACCTCAACTCTCAAGCCTTTACATCTTAACTAGAAATTTTAACTACCCTAATGTATGATTATTTCTAAACTCTGAAACCTTGAAATCTGTGATAATTTCTTCAAATAGAATTATTGGGCTCCAGCATTATATTGGTTCATAGCAGGGTTCTATGCTGACTGATCTTCCCATTCATCCTAAATAAGTTTTAAAAAATTAAGATATTGACATTATAGCAATAAAAAAATTCAAGGAACATTAAGCAAATTTATAAATTATATGACATTTTAAAAATGTTAAAAGTATTCACATATAATTAAAATATTTTGCTTGAACTGAATATGATGCTAATTTGAGTGCCAATTGTATTATTTTCACAGTTCAATATCTTTTCATATCAATGACCTTCAGCAACTTGAAGAGAGTCAGTTACCCAGGTAAATTTATGTTCGCTTGAGACAAAAATTCAGAGGTCTAAGGTAATAACAAAATGGAAATCTCAGAACAAAGACACTGAGAATGTATAGTTTCTGTTATTTTTTTTTTAATTTTAAAAATTTAATTTAATTTTTTTAAAAAAGTAAATCTCTTTGTCATTCCTACTTCTACACATTCAGTTTCCTTTCCCAGAGGCAACCACTATTTGTAGCTTCATGGGTGCCCTCCCAGAGATGGGCCCTGTGTATAGTGTAAGCATAAAGTAACAGATTCTTTATATACAAATGGAAGAAAATTATACACACTGCTCTGCATCTTGCTTTGTTTTACATGGTAATAATTCCACATCAGCACTTATAGAGCTGCCTCATTATTTTTAATAGCTTTATAATATTCCACTGTATTAAGACATATTTAACCAATCCTTGTTTTTTGATGAAAGACTATTAAATAAGGTTGAACATAAAAATATTTTACTATAGTAATTATACTTATCATCATTCAAATAAATCAAATTATTAATAACACATCATTTAAATCAGAAATCTAGATTTATTCAAACTAATGTATAACTTAATGTCCTTGATAAGACAAAATTTTGCTTCCAGTAAAATTATTGGTTCAAAAATATTCTATATTTTGATTCCCTTGGAATTTATGATTACATATATTGTAAACAATGTCACAGCATATTACATTTAAAATTATATAAATAAATAATAATAACTATCATTTATTTAGAGCCTACTATGTACTGAGCATTTTTCTGGGACTATATCTCATTTAAGCCTTACAACTCAGCAAGGAAAATACTATTATCTCCATTTTATAGATGAGGAAACTGACTCCTTGAGAGGTCAAGAAATTTACCCAAGATCACATAGCTAGTAGTTTTCATAGCCTGAGGGCCAAAGATCACATAGGTAGTTGTTTCAAAGCCTGGGGACCATATAGTTGGTCAAGGACCAAGATAGGTTGACTTCCAACCTCTCTCGTAGCTCTATCATTCTATGATTCTAAGTATTTAATCTGCAAAGAATATTATTATGTATGTATATGTGTGTTTAATTGAAGTAACACATTCTGGCTGGCAACAAAAAGGTATTTAGGTGGAATATTTACTTTGAGTGTGAAACATTGCTTTCTTTATTTGGAAAAAAAGATAGTCATAGGGATTCTTATTATATATATAGTTTTATATATATAGTTACTATTCTTTCTATACACTAGGAAAGAGATTACTTTATAACCATAATATCAATTTTTCCCCAAAACATCATTTTACCCCCTCTTTATTTTCAATCATATGAATTCAGATAAAGTATTCACTTTGTCATAAAATGTTAGGTATACTGGGTATGGGATATTTAGGGAACTGGAAAGAAATTTAAGTGATTATCCAGTTCAACTATTGTAATAGATGAGGATACAAAGATTCATAGAGATGAAGTAGTGTCTCTAAATCAATGAGGATAACAGAGTAGTTTCCTATAATTATGTTAATCATAAGATGTAAAATGTTAAAAACAGTGCTTAGCACATAACAGACAGTTGATAAGCATTAGCTAGTAGTAGTAGTAATGATGGTAACAGTAGTAGTGACAGTAATGACAGCAATAGTAATAATGTTTGTGTTGTAGTAGTAGTATCGGTATTATTACTATTATATCATAATAAAAGCTAAATTTATTAAATACAAATGCTTCAGAGTAAATTTGATAATAGATACAACATTACATCTACCATGTCTAGAACTTTTTAAAAGACAGTAGATACGATAGCAATTATAAAGATATACCTGAGGAGTCTATGAGAAGTTAGTAAACAGAAATCAGTATGAGTAGATCTCTAAAATGTAGAAGCCAACTTTACTAAATGTAGTAGATTTTCGTAAGTCAATTTGAGAATGTCATTATATTTAGCATATCAGTATTTGGTTCTTCAGTATAAAAAATTTCCCTACTAAAGAAATGTGTTGTTATGACTGCTAATCGTAATAATCTATTTTGCATACCAAGTACCAGAAATAAACTAATTTCTCCAATTTTTACAAAAACAATTTAGTCTTTGCTTAGTAGTATTTAATGACTTCAGCAAGATAAGAAAGGTTTAATTCTTTTTCAATGCAATGACTGAATTTCCGTTTTGAACTAGACCTTTGATTCTTAGGCCCTAAGGAAAATATACAGCTAGTTTTCAATTTCTTGACACAAATTTCAGAATATAATATGCAACTTTGGAATGGTATCAAGTTAGTGGATTTCACTCAAGTGGAGTCATTCTTCCTTGTTTAGAGAGGCATTATCCCGGTTGTGGATTTTCTCTCCTTCTTTGCCTCTCCTTCCGACTCTTGAACACTTTTACTTAATTTTTGCTTTGTGATCCTTCCATAGAAAAGTAGGCAGAGAAGGGAAAGAAGATGAAATTCACACGTCACTTTTGCTGCTGTTTAGTATTTTATGGTAAATGTAAGGAAGAGGTGGAAATTATTGGCTAGAGTGAAGTTTGGAATTTTCTCTGGTTTTTATATGAACTGGTCTCATTACCATATCTGTAGATAATCAAATGTATACCCATGGTTGGAGAGTTAATTCTATTTGTGAACAATATTTCTCCATTTTCTCCCTTTTGTCTCCGTCCAACTTATGCTACCCTAATTCAGTCTTCATCACCACTGCCTGAATGAGAGCAATCTCTTTTTACATAGTTTCCTTGTTTCCAGTCTTACTCCAATCCCCCTCTAATCCATTCCCAGCACTGGAGTGGTCTATCTAGTTGAAATCAGACCAGATCGTCTCCCTGCTTATCTTTTCATACTTCCCTTCACCTACAGGATGAAGTCCAAGCCAATCTTTTACGTGGTTAAAAGTATCCTTCATAATTTAGAGTCTACCCCCATATCTTTACATCATCTCCCATCATTCACTTCATAAAACTCAAAGCCATGGTAATAACATACTGTATAAAGTTGCCCATGTATGAGCCGTCTTGCCTCCTTGCCTAGGCTCACTAATACCTCTGTCTAGAATGTCCAAATCTCTCAGGTACTCTCATGCCCTTTTTTAGCCTACTGATTCTTCAAGACTCAGGTTCAAGTGTCAGCATCAGGAAGGCTTCCTCAACCATCCATCCCCACTCCCAACCAAGCTGAACTAATTACTCCCTCTCTATATAACCATAAATACTGTGCGTCATTGCTCTTGCCACTTTGTCTTGAAATTAACTGGTTGGTTGTGCTAACCTCTAAAATATAAATCTCTCAAGGACAGTGGCTGAGTTTTATTTATTTTATAACCCCAGAATATAGTACTGTTCTTGGCAAACAGTAAGCATTTCATATATAAGGAATTGTAAGATTATCTATATCCAGGCGTATTTTCTGAAATTGTGAGAGAACTAAGAATATTCATGTTTCCAAATCTGCAAATGACCTGAAGCACAGATCTAGTTCATTGTCTTTTATTACAAAGAGAAATAGTATAAATATCTTACCTTGTGGATAATAAACACAGTATTTGATTCTTAGCTTGTCATTTGTTTTCAGCAATTCCAAGTTATCCCTGAGAATACTTCTATTCCTATTGAAAATATCTCCAACGCAATATTCACTCTGTAATTGAACTTAAACTTACTTCTGCTTTGAAGCTCAACTGCGAGTTGTCTTTCAAGGGTTTCTCTGATTTCTCTCTCTCTATAGAGCTCCATTCGCAGTTCCTTTTTTTCTTGCTGAATCTGCTTCTCCTGGATGCGAGCATTATCCAAAGCCACTTTCAGTAGACCCTGTCAAAGTACAGCAATTGACATGCAGTTCATCTTATCTGTTTTAATTTCTCAAATACGAAATAATTTATGTAGGTGCTAATGTCTTGTATTACATTTATTTTGTTTATAGAAATATTGTTGACCTGAATGTTGGTCAACAGAGTCTCCACGGAGGACAGACTATCAGCAAAAATGAATGGTCCAGGGAATCCAGGAGGCAATGCCTGCCCAGGAGTCAGTTGGATCTTGTCCAAGGGTGATTTCATCATTGGGATTTGAACTGGTACCTCTTCTGCAAAAAATAAAATTAATATTAGAAGGTTCATAAATTAATAGATCAAAATTTTCACTATGTTTCCTTCACCTCTAACGGCATCTATAAAGATTTTTTTTCTAAAACTAAATGATAGAAAACTCATAATTGGAAATCATACCTATTCTCCAGCTGCCTCTACTTTCTCAAAGGTTTCAGGAAAGAATCAGGGACAATGAAACAACATTTACTGCTAAAGAGGCATGAAATTTGGAGAAACAAATATAAGATATGTTTATGAATACTTACAAATTAAATAATAAGATCACTTCCTGGTAAAACATAAACTGCTTTCTTTTTTTTTTTCAAATATATCTATCATATCCATTCTTTTTAACAGCTTTATTGAGGTATAACTTACATACAATAAAATTCACCTATTTTAATTGTATGCTTCAATTATTTTTAGTAAATCATTGGTTACATAGAGTTGTGTAACCATCACCACAAATCTATTTTAGAACATCTCAATCACCCTCAAAACATCCCTCATGCCCATTTATAGTTAATTTCCTTTCTCACCGCCCCCCCACCCCAGCCCCTGGCAACCACTAATCTATTTTCTGTCTTTATAGGGTTGCCTTTTCTAGATATTTTACATAAATAGAATCATACAATATGTGGTCTTTTGTCTCTGGCTTCTTTCACTTAGCATAATGTTTTTGAGGTTCATCCATGTTGTGGCATGTATCAGTGGTTTTTTTCTTCGTTATTGCTGAGAAGTATTCCATTGCCTGGATATATCATTTTTTGCTTAATCATTCACTAGTTGATGGGCATTTGAATTGTTTGCAGTGTCACCTTTTATTTTGAACAATAATCCTCATGAAAAAAATATCACCTATGGTGTAAAAACACAAGCTGTATCTTTTCTCCTCTTTTATTTTTATATTATCTTCTCCAACATTCTCATTACTTAAACAGATCCTCTCTTAGCTTCAGATAAACAGATATCAATAGAATTTTTGTCTAGTAAGATGTTTCAGATTTGTTTTGGACAGATATATCTAATTACAAAAGGAATATTTTACTTTGAGAAACTAACTACTTGGCTATCTACTTGAACTGTGGTTGAAAATCTTTTATGTAAGATGTATGAACCAGATAGCAAAGTTTCCCCTGAAATTAGGAATTGGAGCTTTTTTGACATATCTAAAAATAAACTGCCAGAAAGAGGAGATCTTGGAATGTAGCCCAACAAACCCTGGTATTGTTAAATGGATTTAACAGAAGTGCATGATGGGGTGAATCATAGCACCTCAAACAAAATTACTCTACTCGACTTCAGTAACTGGGCACAAGCAAAGTTTGAAAATATGCATCTCTCTGGTCAGCAAAATTTTCCGTGATCCCATATATTATGAGACTCATTCAAGAAACTAGGCTTGAATCTAGACCTAACCAATTTTCACATGGTTTGGAACCAAAAATCTAGCTATTGGTTCTGGTTCCTGTAGGGACAGGAATATGGATTTGTCATACAGTAAGATCTCATTTTTCAATTGCAAGCAGCCTATATATGTATTATGCAAAGTCTTGAACTCCATTGATTTCACAGTCATCATGGTTTGCTGTGGGATTTCTTGTGTGGGAAGCTGTGGCATGCAATTGCGGGAACCTTCTGTGAGATTACTTAATGGGATAACATTATCTCTGAATAAAATGCTCTTAATATAGATCACCTTCACAATTTCTAATTTTCCAAAACCTATAGGAATAAAAAAAGCTAAACAATTATCATAGAGAATCAACAGTTTCACATTATTTGAATCCAAAATGTTATAAAGAATATTGTTTATCAGTCTTAAAGAATTCAAAACATATAAAATATCTTGTTAATTTTCTTTTAGCACAGAAAGCTATTTTTTAGTAAAACAAAAAATAATATTTTGATCATAAATGCATGATGCATGTGTTTTCTATGACTCACTTTTTGTAAAATTAACCTTAACTTCTTATAAAGCATCCCCTCCTTCCTTCCTTCCCTCCTTCCCTCCTTCCTTCGTTACTTCATTCCTTCCTTCTTTCCTTCCTTCCTTCCTCCCTCCCTCCCACCCTCCCTTCTTTTCTTGTCAGTGGTAGTTTTGGAAGAGGTGAAGTATTCCAGAGGGAATGAGCACATTATCACAAATTCTGTGATCTATGTAAACTACCAGGTTTGAACACTTGAAATATCTCATAAAAAAACTAAATCCTAAAATATGTCCTAGGCAGCAGCTTTAATGTTTCTAAAGTACATTTCTCAACAACTAACCAAGCAATATGATGCTTTATTTGTATTGTTTGAAGTCTGTGTTTAGCTAGTATTTTGTCTTCTGCACATGAGTGCATTAAGTGGATAGAATGACGTCATAATGATCTATCAATATTAATAATAACTGGGAATGTTCTACACTTTTATATTGATGTTTACAAATCTTAAGCATTCATTTATGTAGCCTGGAAGATCTATTTTAACAAAATGAACTGCTCCAAAGTTAGAACAGTGACTTCCTGCTGATTCAGACATAATATAATGTTTCCCCTGAATAAATATTTTGTATCAGGGCCAGAGTTCTTAAAATTAATGGATTCCTTGTTATGTATCTCCCTATGCACACATGTAACCTCAGTAGTAAGAATATGAGCCAGATATCTGAAAAGGAAAGCAATACATTCAGTATGCATAAAACAAAATTATAACTACATTAAAATCACCAGAAGTCTTCTATTTCGAGATGAAAGAAATGCCATTAAATTGGCTGAAAGGAAAATTACTATTGACTATGAAGACAGGTTGCATGGTCTATGGTTTGTAATGTTGCTGTACAGTAGATTGAAGTTTCAAAATAGTATTACTCTTCTTTAAAGAGATAGACACAGCTGAATTAGGTGCTGCTTGCTGCAGTGAGGATCAAATGCAAAAAGAATCATATTTCATCAGACCTAGTCAACACCAGGAAAATAAATAGAAATATAAGAGGTATGCAGGCAATGATTCATTTTGATAATCTGGCCCAAGAGAGACACATAGAGACAGCACACAGATCTAAGCTTCTACCAAAAGACAAATAGGACACAGAGGGTGGGAATTGGGATGACAGTGTAGCAGAGGTCACATCGATTTTCAGCAGCAGTTTTCACACAGATGAGATAACCCTGGACTCTATTTGGCCCATTGTTCATATCCTACCTGTCCCACAAGCAATAAATTTCCTAGTCCTAGAAAAGGGCAGTAAAGAAGAAGGATTCTACTTATGACTTCTTATGATTAAGTTTTTGTGCTAACCAAACATGCTTTTTCAGACCAAGGTCACATTGCATGTTAAGGTCCATAATAGCCAAAAACTAGTCGAAGTGTATTATGTTTTGCTGTATATGAGTAGAAACTGTCAAACCATTCATCATTTTTTTCTGATTTAAATCACATGCTACAAAAATGAATGATAAATGCATTAAAAATCTATTTCAATCTTGTAATAGGTCTTCATATCTGAATGACATCTACATTTTGCTCAGTTTGAATATATGCACCGTTGTGTAGGAATTTATTAGGTAGGCTTGAGAAATCCTAATTGGCAACAAAATTAAATATGGGCTAGTACTAGAAACATAGATTGTCAGCTAAATAAGAGCATCTCTTTGTGATCCAGGGAGAAAGGATTTTGATTGAGCATTTTGATTTAAAACGCTGGTGTTCAAAATGTATATATTAAAACCTTTATCAACACATATGATGCAATGGTGTAAACTAAAAGATAGGACAACTGCTCTCTAGCTGAGGACATGAGCAACCTCTTCATTTATTGAAGCAAAGTAGAGACTGCTTTTATTGAGCCTGTTTGTTAAATCTGCCATACTTTGTAATAGCACTTGGGAATCCATTTAGAGACCAAGCTCTTAATTTTAATTTCTTGCTTAGGGCCCAGATGAATAGATGTACAAGTTGACAAGAACTTTATTTGCAGGAAAAAAGATAAGCATACGGTAAGTGCTCAGAATGGAAAAGTCTCCCTAAAAATTAAAGTCAAGGCTGCTAGAGACTTTCTATATGACTCTAGTGTTTATTTTCCTAATTTTTCATAGGGTTAAGTGTTTCCTCTTTCCTCTGGGCTTTAAGGATTGTGATACAGGAATAGAAACTGGACACAGCTGACTCACTCAGCAGTGGAAAAATGCAGCCACCTACCAGGTCATCAGTTTTTATTCTTTAACAAATAAATTATATTTCATTATTTAATTTGAGAGCTTTCTCCAAGCTTTCTCCAAAATACAGCTGGCCCAAGGGACTCTCCTTTGTTGGTGTCATTACTATTATATTCAGCACAAGCAAGACACCTGCTTCCCTCTTCCAAACTGAGGAACAATAACAACAAAATGACCAACTGCTGTGTAATGATCTGACCTGCATGAATATAAGGAAGTATTCATGGTCTGAGTTGAACAATGACTCAAGTGTTGCCATCATCAAATGTGGAAAAGAAAAACTTGATCCCCAAATTGTTACATGTCTTTAGGGAGACAAAAATAAGAAATAATGATGATAAATGAAAATAGAAAGCTAGTAGCAAAGGAATGAAGGGTCACCAGCCTGAGCAAGTGAGATAGAATACTTCTAAAACGAATTATGGCCCTGTTTTGCTCTGAATCCTTAGATTAGCAATTTGGCATAACAGGCTCCTTTATAAATTATGAATTAGAAATAAATCATCTTTCAGATAAAATATTATGCTTGATAACAAATATTATATCCAGTGAATGGTTTGGAAGAAGTATGATACCGAGTCCCTGACATTAAGGAGCTGACACATTATTTTGGAAAAAAATCAATAAGTTACAAAAGTGGACAATTAAGTGTGAAATCATGTGGCATAGATTGTTAAGTGCCTCTAGAAGTTCAAAGGAGAGATCACTGTGGTCTGGAGTAAGTACTCAAACTAATCTATTCACTCTCTAGCTGAAAAGTGTTCCCACTGTCCTTAGAACAAAGTCCCATGGAA